GTTCCTTTACTGTCAAAGTCTATATTTGGACCAAGTTAATTCAGTGTACATAACATGGTGCAGTGCATACAGCGAGAATGTTGCAGAAGTCCAGTTGTGTGCAGCACAGACGACAGTGTTGTTTCATATCAGTGCATGTAAGATTGTTAACAGTACATAATGTGAGTGTTTGATCCCGAACCAGTTGATTCCAAATGACAAATGGTGAAATCTCAGACAACTTTGCTAAACTGTTGAGCTACAAGATATAAAAAATGATTTTCTCATTTTTATTGATGCTGCGGAGCCAAAATGTTTAGAATTGTTTTTAAATATATTTTTTTAGATGTCTTACAGGTCCTCAATGTTAGTTTGCCATTTTCAAGAAAAGCCAAAACTTTATCCCGTGACTTAATGCCACTTTGATTGGTGATATGTGCTGCTGATTATCCATGCTGCTGATCTCATGCTGCTGATTATTTCATGCTGCTGTATTCATACGTACTCTGCTCGCACAGACTCATGTTCATGCTGCTGTTGTTTGGCGTATTGTTTTACACTATTAGTGTTTAGCATATTTCTTTGTTTATATCTTAGATGCTTAATACTGTTTCTTTTTACTATTTATACTTTTTCTATTATTGGATGTAACTGGGACCCTGCGTACACAGTTTTGTTCCACCTCATGTACCATATTTGATGCGAATGATAAAACCTACTTGAACTTGAAATAAAAAAGTTTTTTGATATTTACCCAAGACCTCCTTCTTTGAGTCCTGCTGGAACACCCAAGTGTGAGACTGATGTCTTAACTTGTGTCTGTGTCTCTGAGTCAGTACTTTGTACCAGCAGTGAACCGATTTCCATACCAGTTGCTGTGGTGCAATCGTGCATGAATGTAACTTATCAGTGCATAGACAAGTTTTTTTTTATTTTATTTTATCTTACATCTGCCTCGTCACAGCAACTCACTTGTTCTGTACAGATTTGTTGGATAAAAGCTGAATATAAAAGTTAAATTATATTTTACCATAGAATGGAATATTTAATGTTTTAAGTCCTATAAATAAAATCATGAATGCCAGTAGTCATGTATTTTGAACAAACTGTGAACAAATCTTGACCCGCTCGATCAAATAGTGAGCTTTATCCTAAAAGCTCCACATCACGTACAGTGTGGGAGAAACTTTGCTTGGAGATAAAAAATAAAGTTGGGGTTATCACACTTCCTGTCTGGTTCATAAAAGATGGATTGACTTCTTGTGACTAGCAGATTGTGGTCAAACTCTTAATGTAAGAAATATGTGATATACGAACCAATCAGGTCTGACCTGCTCCAATGTGTTCTTATTTCTCCATCTCAAACATCAGACCTATACTTCTTAAACTGGGGGTAACTTTCGTGGTTCTGATGGATCTCGACATGACAAGATTCACGGCATTTTCATACACCCACATCCAAGGGTGACACAATAAATTTACCACCCATATCCAAGCTGAAAAGGTCATCGAGAATAAGGCCCGGTGGCATTACAGGAGTAGAAGAAAAATAAGAGCCGTATAGTGAGGAAAGAGGCTAAATACACAGTGCTGAGCAGGAAAGAACAGGGGAATAGTATTTTGGGAACTTGTACACGACTGAAGGAGCCTCGAGCCAAAGACAACACTCCCGTCTGGTCTCTCTGATAGAGGATGCACTTAACTTCTGTTGCTAATGTTGACAGGCAACAGCCTTCAGTCAGAACTACATGGTGTGTGTGTGAATGTTTATAATGAATTCCTGCATTTGGCTTTAAGTTTTAAATTATGTCATCTACAGCATTTATAAGTGTGCCCAGTCTAATCAAATGTGCAGTGCTCTGCTCAATGATCTGAGGGCCAATGTATTTAACAGGCTCTTCATTAACTCATTTTGTGCATGTAAGCTCATAATACCATCTAACTCATATTGCCATGTCAGATTTAATTACCAATTGTCCCCCCCCCCCCCCCCATTTCTCATAAATATTAAACCACTGTCATTTAATATGATGTACAAAGCACAAGATTTTTATTTTATTTTTTGCTTTCATGTGTAACCAGTTCAAATTACAGCAGTACTGTACGGCTTGCTCCCCTAAAAGTTTTGCTTGAAATTTAATCATAGCGGTACAAAAAAAAAACAAACAAACAAAAAAAACATACAAAAATAAAACTGAGCCTGCCCAACCTTATTGGACAGGATTCACAGATGTGCATTTCAAGCAGTTAGTTTTAACTGAAAGTTAATTTGGGTTTCTTTTTCAGAAATAGATCCTGTTTAACTCTGAATGCTAGAAAACGTCTTGTAACTGTGACTTTCCTTCCCTCTACTGACTACGATGACATTATTTACCTGTGCACACCTACGAGCACCTTGCAGATGTTGGATGCTGTCTATCATGGTGCACTAAGATTCATAACTGGCTCTATACCGTACCCACCACTGCACCCTGTATTCACTGGTTAACTGGACATCATTAACTTCACACAGACTCTCTCACTGGTACATTTTCATCTTTAAATCACTTCTTGGTCTGTTGCCTTCATACATCTCCTCCTACATGTCACTGCATGAGTGCAACTACAGCGTGCACTCTCAGGACATTATTACCTGCAGTGTTCCCTCAGTTCAGACTGAAGTTGACAAAAGGGCCTTCTCCTACTCTGCTCCTGTTTCCTGGAATGTGTTGCAAAAAGATCTGAAGCTCTCGGCCTTGACCTCTCTAAGTAGCTTCAAAATATCTAAGTTCATGGGAAAAACCAATGCAGACATGTTCCTGTTTTTAGTTTTCTACATCACCTTACAACCTAGCTGAGTTTTTTTGTTTCATATTTTAATAACATTTTCTTTCACTTGTTCTTTTCAATTTGTTTCTTTTATGATTGTCCACTGTTGTCATCACTCTGTTAAAATCAGGTCTCTCTTGTAAATGAGTCCCCGAGGCTCAATGAGATTAATCAGTATAAATAAAGGTTGAATGAAAAAGTCCTACACAGTCCTTGTCATTCTGTTTGCAGGGAGTGCTGTTTTGTGTGGCCAGATTAATTTATAGGTTGGTTGTTTTACTTTGTTAGCCCAGCCTATGCAAAAAGTTAATTTGATTAGTTTCCATGCAGCCACTAGAGTAGACAACTGCACTGATCATTTGTCTGATCTTGTGACCCCCAACAGTTCCAACTTTAGGCCTGTCCACTTTTAAGTTCTACTTTGACGCCTTCTGTATGCATAAATCCATATTACTTTCAGTGTTTGGAAAAATACAGTACTGCCTGGAGTAGTTCTAGAAGTGTAGTGCTCAAAGTACTGTAACTGATCAAGCTGGAATTTAATATGAGATTCCCAACATGAAGCATTGAGACATACCTGACAATTTTTTTAAGGGCTTATGGAGATAAAAAGGCAATGACCCTGAACCAGATAGATGGGACCTTCCGACACTTATTTACTGTTTAAGGCGAGCTATTTCTTCCAGCTGGGACAGGAAGAAGTCTGGCGCAATCAAAAAGATTATCTTTATTCAGAATAATGAATTATCTTAAAGAAGATATTTACTATGAGACAAGATGATACACCTGTTTGAAGTACACCAGGAAGCTGTCTGCTGCTCTACCAAATAATTATTTCTCTTCAAAAGTTGTACAAGTTAACACAGATTAAATGTGGTTATACTGGTCACTGAATGTTTTGTCATTTTGTTTGTACACCTTCTTTTTGATATACGTATTTTAAACTGAGTTGAGAAAACTAAAATATATAAAAATGAAGTCCTCTAAATACAGCCCTGGTAGGTTGTTGGTTATTTCATCAGCAAATGCTTGCTTGAAATTATGCTGGTGAAGATCCTCAGTCATCCAGGACATGATAAATTCAAAAGCGTTCAAAACAAAACAACTGGACTTTATTTGTAACAGGAGACGATTCGCTCCTCATCCGAGGAATTGAGAAAGCTCCTCGGACGAGGAGCGAAACGTCTTCTGTTACAAATAAAGTCCAGTTGTTTTGTCTTGAATGCTTGAAATTACCACAGAGCAATTATAAAGCAGCATTTATTAGGAGGTGTGTTGGGGAAAGATTTTGGCATTCTGCTTCATTAGGAACAGTATTGTAGTTTTAACTTTTTAGAGTAACACATTGGGAAAACCAGGAGAGTAAACCTTCAGGTGTACCACCCAGTCTGCTCCTGGCTAAACACATCCTTATTGTAAAATTATTAGTATATTACAAGCATTAAAACTAGGTTATTTTCCTGGCTCATATTAAACTCTGCACAAACTCACATACACACTCTGACTGGGTTCCTGTGACGAATATCTCATGCTCTTGTGGCTATAATTGGCTGCAAGAAGCAGGGACTCTGCTCTTGCTTGTTATCAGACTGAAGCCAAAATAGAAAGGACAGCAGTCAAACTAAGAGAAACACAGCAGACCTTCAAGGCTGAGAGTATACAGTTAGACAAAAATCCACACAAACGCTGCAAGTGGAAACACAGCTGTTGCACACCTAAAGTCCTACATATCTTAGATTGGAGATGGGATAGTTGGGTAAAATTAGATGATGTATACAGACAGCTGAGACTAACTAACAGGAACATATAAAGATAGTTACAAGCGATAAAGATAAAAAAAACTGAGGGAGATTCTTGTCTGTGTGGTAATGAGGTTGATTTTGGTGATCTGCAACGAAACCAACATGCTGATGAAGCAGCTACTTTGCATTTAAACTGAACTGTTGCTACGTGGAGAGAAAAAAAAAAAAAACTTGACAGTGATTGTAAAAATGGATGTTGGTCCCATTCCAGCTCTCAAAGTCATCCTTTTAAATATTTTTCCAATGCTCCCCTAGAGTGTTTTGTGAAAAGTGAACAGATCATAAAATATATTTTATTTAGCGCCATCGAAACATCTTTCTTTATAGGGATATGTAATATTAACATGTTGTTTGTTTCCATTTTGTCTAGACATGATACCTTGTTGAGGTGTTCCCAGTGCAAGGTGGCTCGCTACTGCAATACAACCTGCCAGGTATGTTTGTGTGTAAGATTTTAGAAAGGGGAAAAAAAAGACAAAACATAAAAACAATTGGAAAATGTATGTGATTTTGTTCAATGTGCATGTACGTCTGTGAGTATTTTTAAAGGCCCCCCTCTCTTGTAGAAACAAGCATGGTCTGGACATAAGAGGGAGTGTAAATGTCTGCGAAGCCTCCTGCCCAGACGTCCTACGGACTCCGTTCGTCTGACTGCGAGAGTCCTTTTTGCGCTGGTATGTTTCTGGATTTTCTCATTGCTAATCTACTAAATGTGCACAAAGAAAACTATGATGAGGAAGACTAATCATAGTTTTTCTTTTGCTTGTCATAATGGGTTGATCTTCAGGGCTCTGTTAGAAATTCTTAAATTCTAATTATGTTTGTAATTAGATTTTTGTTTCACTCCTGAAACCACAATATTCTTAAGAATATTTTAATGAAGCTACAAAGCATACAAAAAGCTGTTTGTTGCTTGAAATGATCAAATGCTCATCTCTCTCCCCATTTTTATTTTTCTTAGTTAAATCATCATGAGAGCAGTACTGTGGAGCTCTACACTTTAGATGAGCATGAATCACGTAAGTTTCTTTTTTTTCATATAGTTTATTGCTACTGCAGTAACAAATTATCTTTTTACTTTTTTGTTGTTAGTTTTCATTTTTATATCAACAAATACAGTATGTCAACAAATAATTTCTTTAAATGCTCCAGAATAAATCATAGACTTTTTTTTTTCAACAATCCACCTTCACCAATATTCTCCTTCTTAACAAGAAATAAGTAGGGGGAGCATTAGCAAGCAAATGGAGAAAGTGTTGAAAAAACAGGCTGTAATTGATTTACTCTACAGAATATTTAAAATAAATAAATGTTAATGCTAAATGTTATCAATGGTTATGCTTATGGCAAGAATGTGCAGCAGGTTCGGCTTGTTAAAGATAGGAATGGTAATGTTCTAACAAGTGAGAAGAGTGATGGGAAGATGGAAGGAGTACTTTGAGGAGCTAATGAGTGAAGAGAATGAAAGAAAAAGAAAAGTAGAGGTCATAGAAACTGTGGACCAGGAAGTGGGAAAGATTAGTGATCGTGAAGTTCAGAAAGCTCTGAAAAGAATGAAGAAGGGGAAGGCAGTAGGATCTGATGACATACCAGTGGAGGTTCGGAAATGTCTTGGAGATATGGCAGTGCGATTTTTGACTCAAATATTCAGTGGCATATATGAGGGTGAGTAAATGTCTGAGGAATGGAGAAGAATCGCGGTGGTGTCCATTTTTAAGAACAAGGGTGATGTACAGAGTTGTAGCAACTACAGGGGAATTAAGTTGATGAGCCACACGATGACGATCTGGGAGAGAGTTGTGGAAGCAAGACTTAGACGAGAGGTGACTATCTGTGAGCAGCAGTATGGTTTCATGCCAAGAAAGAGCACCACAGATGCCATCTTTGCTTTGAGGATGCTGATGGAGAAGTACAGAGAGACTCGGAAAGAACTCCATTGTGTCTTTGTGGATTTAGAAAAAGCATACGACAGAGTGCTGAGGGAGGAGGTGTGGTATTGCATGAGGAAATCTGAAGTGTTAGAGAAGTATGTTAGACTGGTACAGGACTTGTATGAGGACAGCAGGACAGTGGTGAGATGTGCTGTAGGAGTGACAGATAGCTTCAAGGTGCAGGTGGGAGTACATCAAGGATCAGCTCTGAGCTCCTTCTTGTTTGCTCTGGTGATGGACCGACTAACAGACGAGGTCAGGCAAGAATCCTCGTGGACTATGATGTTTGCAGATGACATTGTGATATGTGGTGAGAACGGGGAACAGGTGGAAGAGAACTTGGAGAGGTGGAGGTATGCACTTGAAAGAAGAGGAATGAAAGTCAGCCATCGTAAGACAGAGTAAATGTGTGTGAATGAGAGGGAGGCCGGTGGAACAGTAAGGCTATGAGGAGCAGAGGTCACAAAGGTGTAGGAATTCAAGTACTTGGGGTCCACTGTCCAAGGAAATGGGTTAGGGTTAGTGTGGTAAAGAAGTGAAAAAGAGAGTCCAGGCAGGATGGAGTGGATAAAGTGTAGATGAACAGATGCTGGGATATATTCATCATTTAACGCGAGTTCCTCATTTTTCTGGACTGAATAAAACGTGCACTGAATTTAAGGAAATGCAAAGTGAGACGTCATTTAAATTTGACCCATCAAAATGAATGCGGTCATTTATTTACAGAATCAAATTTAACATCAAACATTTACATTAATTTGGCAAATTATGAAAATAACAATATAAGCAATCAATCAGGAAAAATCATACGGCCATGATTTTTCCGTTGCTGCACCACAGACATTTATAAAACTGTACAACTATGACTTTTACCCACACGGATGTGAATAAGCACTTTACACAGACATTTCTAAATATCTGGGAGAATTTCTACTTCATAGGAAAGTTTAAAGATGGAAAGAAGTTTAGAGGGAGTAAAGGATGGTGTGTGAGGGAAATTAAGTGTTTTCCAGAACCGACACTCTCCATCAGAAGCCCAGCTCGCCTCGGTACGCTTGGTAGGAAACTTGACCCATTACCTCTCTGATGATAATCAGCAGATATGGTGTTCCGTTAACGCTACCGGTCCAGCGTCTCCTTAGAATGGCTGTTGCCCGTCAGAAGTAGTGGCGAGGCTCTGTTCGACACACATTCACCTCAGTGGAAAATGTTATAATCCCATGGAACTCGGAAGAGCTTCGTTGTCATGTCAGGAACTCCAACAGCACTCCATCAGAACTCCAGAACTCTAGAAGTCTGACAACTCTCCAACTCTGAGTACCTGTGTGTCTCTCCGTGTCCCTGTGAGTCTGTGTAGACCAGGAAGTACTGACATTTTAAAGACTCTTTCCCGGTTCACTTTTTGGGATTTTTCATTGGTCAGAAACGACCAGAAGGGGTGTGTTTTTGTGACGTAAGAGGTTAGAGACAGCGAGAATTGTTATGAGACAGCTCAGAAATGTTCTCACAGACCGAGAGGGTTCTGTTTTGGCGTGCCTTAAGAAACAGGTGCAAAACATCTCTATTTACGTCTGAGAGGATTCTAAAACATGACAGTTTTAACATAACAACTTGTTTTTCGTTTGACTGTAACCTTGTAAACGCACACACTTGCTCATTCAAAAGCAGAAATCAGAAAAATGCATAAACTCTGCACAGCTTTTAACATGAGAATAAAATCATTACTCAGTTAATAAAATTGATTAGTTCACTGCAACATCTAAAATGGTTTGAACTAAGACACTTTGATTATCAACATTTGTAAGATAGTAATGATAATAAAAAGAGAGTGTTCTTTTCACTTGAATCTTCAAGAAAGAAAGTCTCAGGATGGGTGAACCTGTATTTATGGAGTCAAATACATGAAATGACAGCTTCTGTCCCACAAGGTTCTAAAGGTCAAGAGTTTTGACCTTAGACTGGGTTTCGACGTAGGCTTAGTCCACTACAGTCCCCCCTTTGGAAATCATCACCTGTCCATGGAGATGAATTCCAACTATGGACTTACGTCGTCGATCGTCCTTGAAGCTTGATGTAATCCAGCAAAGAAACAAGAGTCAAGAGTAATCCAGCAAGGAAAACAAAAGTCAAAAGTAATCCAGCAAGGAAAACAAAAGTCAATGTAATCCAGCAAGGAAAACAAAAGTCAAGGTAATCCCACAATGTTCTTGGTAATTCCACTGTGTTGATTATAATTCCATATCGTCTCGATAATTTCATTGTAGCAATGCTTTAACCCCTTGGAAACAGAGTCTGTAATCCATTGGAAAAAGTCATATAATCCACAACGGTAAATCCACAACGATTGGAAGTGTTGATTAATCAGCATACAGAGGGGTACCCTTGG